TGACAATGAAGACTTGGACGACACTGCGGCAAGCCCTACTTCCACGACCGACCCCAACAACGTTGGCGCTCCTTCATCAACTTGATTATCTTCAGGGGCGTTAGTCCTCAGTTTCGATCCTTTTGGTCATTCGATGACAAAGGGGGAGAAATCTGAGTTAGTCTTCAAGCGGGTCTATTATAAGGGCGTTTTTTTTGCTAAGTTACAACTCTCGTTCTTCTGAAACTTTATTGGATCGAGTTGTAATCTTAAACCCGATGGTGCTCTGATACTTTTGATGCACTGCGCTCTGATACTTTTGATGCGCTATTCTGCATGCTTATTCCTCGTTAATATTATTGCACGCATGTTGAATTACATCAGGCACCATATGTCATCATGCATTTCAAATTCTTCATATTATATATCAAATGCGTGTATGAATTACAAGATATAGGGGGAGATCTCCATGATTCAACTCTTCAAGTGTGCATTGCTTCAAAAGCAAATTCCTCACTATGCACATCTTTAGGGGGAGTTCTTCTATATCTTGTAATCAAATTCCTCAATATCAGTATTTACACTTCATATATTTATCCCCGTTGAAAACTTAACCTATATTGTCATCAATCACCAAAAAGGGGGAGATTGTAAGTGCATCTAGTGCCCCTTAGTGATTTTAGTGTATTGAAGACTTATAGGTTAAGGATCTAATGTGTTTATGAGTGTACACAGGTCTATAAGTCTATGAGGAGTTTGATATTTACAGAGGAAGTCGACCCCTAAAAATGAAGTTCTTCGACTGAAGACTTTCATATTCTGAAGACTTTCTGAAGACTTTGAAAGTGAAGAAATTGATGTGACCTTGAAGACTTGATATTCATTCAAGGAACATGAAGCGTGAAGACTTTGTTTTCGTAGTTTCATTTTCTCTTTCTTGAGTCATAGGAAACACCGTACTGTTAAAGGGGGTCGAGGAAATACTAAGGAGAAAATTTCCAGATGATGCTCAACTCAAATCCTACACCTACCAATCCCTTCGAGTGAAGCCATTGGAAATCTCATACAGTTCAGTCAATTTCTTCAGTGACAGAGACACAGTTCTTCTGGTCACTGAGGACTTTGCTCTGACTGAGGAGTTAGGAATTCGCCAGTGCGAATTGCCTACACTGTGAGGAACATGATAGCCCTGAGGAATTTGAACCTCAAATTTCCGACCGTTGCTGTGCTACGTGCCAGCTGTCCCAAAATATCTTATCCATCCAACAGTCATATCATTGAAGGGCATTTATGTCTTATCATGTTGGGCTGCTCCCTAGGCTATAAATAGCTGCCCCCTACAACCACTAGCTGGTTGGCTGCTCCGCGAGAACTTGACACTTGTCATTTGAGAGCAACCCATCCTTCGAGGACTTTAAGCGAAAATCATCAAGTGAGGAAAATCCAAAACCCAAACCCAAACACCTACAAACCCAAAGTGATTGAGCATCACTGAAGAGATTGATCTTGCGTGGATCCAACGCTTGTTACCTTTGAAGACTGTGCTTCTTCCAGACGGTTAGGCGTCATGGTCTAGAGCATCCAAGAGGAATTGTGGATCGCCGAGTGACCGAGTTTGTCAAGGTTCGGAAGTCACCTGAAGACTTACCACGAGTGATTGGGCGAGGACTGTGTGTCCTTAGCTCAAAGAGAATACGGTGAGGATTGTGTGTCCGGGACTGGGTGTCCTCAGGTTTAAATACCTAGCCGCTCCAACCAGACGTACAACTGAGACAGCAGTTGGAACTGGTCTACCAAATCATTGTCTTCACCAAGCCGACTGGTTCTATTTCCTTAACACTTTCATTTCCTCATTACTGTGTTGCATGTTTGTTCATATCTGTGTTTGAAGACTTTGACTGAAGACTTTCTCAATTTTCTCAGTTCAATTTCTTCAGTCTGTTTGTCTTCATCTTGTGCTATCCTGTGTTTACGCTTTCTGTATTCTGTGTTTGTCTTCATTTCATCATGATGACCATGCATGTATTCTGCTATGTTTACTTTTGAGTACTTATTCCGCTCCTAGTAGTTTTCGCTAAGGAATTTCCTCACTGACAAATTCCTCAGTGAAGAATTTCATAAAAATTGCCTATTCACCCCCCTCTAGTCGATATAATGCACTTTCACTAGCCGGCCCCTACGGGCCGCCGCCGCCCTTGTCGCCGGTCGCCGCGACCGGGCCAGCCGCCCTGCCATGGTATTCGGCACCCGCGGTGCCGACCGGGCCTCTACACCACCACTGGCCGCTTCAGCCGCCGCGCCCCAATGGCCGCAGTGGCCGGTGCCGGCCCTCGCCGCGTCACCCACGCCACCCGGGTCCTCGCCGCCACCGCCCTGGCAGCCGCCGCACCCCGGGGCCACCGCGACGCTGGTCGGGCCACTGCAGCCCTCGCTGCAACTACAGTCAGCCCCCGCCCCGATCTGGCCACAATGGTCGGCCGCGGCCATCGCCGCGCCCGCCGCCTCCACCGTTTCCAGGCAGCAGCAGCTGCTGCTGCCGGCGCCTCCGCCGCCCATCACCAAGCTGACTACAACCGCGCCGGCCGGCGTGCCGATTCAGCAAGTGCGGTTCCCGCCCTCGTCGTCCCAGCTTCCGGCCTGGTTGGCCGGGACGTCACCGCTGCCAGTCTACACCATGGCTGCGGACCAGCCGGCGCCCTCCCTGTCGTACGACGGGCCCTCCAGCTCCGCGGGTTTCCACGCAGGCTTCGACGGGCCACCGCTTTCCTGCGGACCACCCGTGCACACCGGACCAACGCCATCCTTTTCGCCGCTCCGTACCGCCAAGCCGTACACTCACGATGGTCATGCTCAGACACCGCCGCGCTTCGCCAAGCTCGCCTTTGCCGCCTACAACGGCGCCGAGGACCCCTCAACTGGCTCAACCAGCGCGAGCAGTTCTTCCGGAGGCAACGGACGCTCGCGTCGGACCGCACCTGGCTTGCCTCTTATCACCTCCGCGGCGCCGCACAGACGTGGTACTACGCCCTCGAGCAGGACGAGGACGGCATGCCCCCATGGGAGCATTTTCACGAGTTCTGCCTCCTTCGTTTCGGACTGCCGATACGTGGGAGCCGGTTGGCGGAGTTGGGCCGCCTTCCCTTCACCTCTACGGTGCAGGACTACACCGACCGCTTTCAGGCCCTGGCGTGCCACGCGACCGGCGTGACGGCTCACCAGCGGGCCGAACTCTTCGTCGGCGGTCTGCCAGATCATATCCGCATGGACGTCGAGCTGCAGGGACCCCAGGACCTCCATACGGCCATGTACTACGCTTGCGCGTTCGAGCGTCGCGCGGTGGCCATCCAGCAGGCATCACCGTCCCAGGCCGCTGGGCCGCCACCCTGGCCGGATGTTCCCGCGCAGGGTCGGCCTGCTCAGGCTTTCGCGGCACCCCTTGCCACGACTGCGGCGTGCCCGTTCCGCCGGCTCACCTCGGCCGAGCTACTCGAGCGTCGCCGCCAAGGGTTGTGCTTCAACTGCGACGAGATCTACATGCCCGGCCACGTCTGCCCCCGAGTCTTCTACCTGGAGGCTGCAGACTGCATTGAGGAGGACGCCATCGCCGCCGGGCTCGGCGACCTGGCTGCCCCAGCTGTCGCGGAGGTGTTTGATGCTGGTTGATCACCTCGAATAGTTCAGCAAGCGCTTCCTCGCCTTACAGCTCAAGGACGAACTGTTTGTGTAGGCGGGGAGAAGTGTTATGACCGGCATATTAGGGGCTTAGCCTAGTGGGCTGTGGCCCAAGTTATCTTATCGTTATTAGGGGCTTAGCCCAATTATCTTATCGTTATTAGGGTCGTTTGCTTAGGAGTCAAGTAAACCTCTCTATATAAGAAGAGATGTATCAATCTAATCAAGCAAGAAGCAATCATTATTTGCTCGGCTTCCCTTAGGGAGCCGGGAGACCTATCCCTAGCCGCCTCTTGCGCTGCCGCCGCCTCTTCTCCACCACGCAAGGACGGCGGCTGGGCGCCGTCCGGCCGCCGCGCCCTCTTCCTTGTCTTCCTCCATCCTTCCCCTACAATCTCCGCCCTATAACCGGCAGAACCCTAGCTTCTAACAAGCCCATCACTAGAAAATGGAGGGAAAAACTCCAGAAGCGAGGGAAAACCCTCTTCCCATTCCCATTCCCCAAATGCGCGCACATAAAGAGATGGAAACCCACGCCGGCCTCGGCTCCGGCTCCAACGGCGGCAAGCCTGCTCCGACGAAGCCGGCAATGGACGAACCACGCGCCGGCGCCGATGCCGCTGAAGTCCCCTCCTTCGCCGGCCCCGACGTGCTCCCCGTCCCCCAGCCGGTATGCTCTCCTCGCCGCCCTCCGGGTACCACTCGATGGATTCTCCGCCACCCGTTTTGTTGAAGATCTGCGTGTTCTGATCTTGCAGGGTACATTCGCCGGCGCGAGGAAGCGGAAGGCCCCGGCGACGGCGACGGCAAAGGCTGTCGGGAAGCCTGGCAAGACGCAGGTCTGTAGTTCACTGTACCCATCCATCAGCTCACTTGATAGTGATACTTTAGTTAGTCTGAATTTGTCCCCTGTACTTGCTTGGTTGTTTGATTCGTCTGAATCTTTTCCATGTGTGTTGTGGCATTGTTTGATGGTGTAGGTTGAGGAGCCGATTCAGATGCCTGTGTACTATGGATGTAGAGCACCGTTTTCCCGCGTTCGTGGCAACTATTTAGAAGACAAATGTGCTCACTAATTGGTGAGCTGCCGCTGCAGCCACAGTCCATGTCATTGGTGGATCTACAGCTCTGGATCTTCAGGCTGTTCTGGCTCCATCCAGAAACACAAGATCTCGATATCAAGGGGTTCCTCAAGCAACGCAAAACTGATTTCTTTGACGAAGAGTCCTCTGAACCGGACTGTTGTTTGGAGGACTACCCGTGGGGCATGCATGAGTTTTTGACTGGCAAATGCTGGAGTTCCTTTGCAAATAAATTGAAGAGAAAAAAAACATGTGACACAGAAGTTCATGTTGTATGTGCAATCCTTTGAGGTCAGGCACTACGACATTTTGCTCAAAGCCGTACATGATGATTACTCTCAACTGGCGACGGTTGTGTTGCCTGGGACGGAGTGCCTGGCAAGTAGTAGCTACGCCTTCCGTGACCTTGTGGATGACCTGACGATGACAGCTAAGGAATTGGTACATTATCTCACTGGACCCTTAGGCGAGAAGATTAGTCCCGTCGAGGCGTGGAGGGCAAGACAGTTTGCTCTGGAGAGGGAATTCGGTACCTTTTATGATTCACACAACTTTGCCCCGAGGTTGCTTAAGGAAATAGCACACAAGAACTCTGGTTGTTTTGTTGACATCAAGGATGCAGAGGTTGCAGAGTGTAAGGGTTTCCGAGTCCTGCAGCGTATGTTTTGGGCATTTGGACAGTGCTTATAGGCCTTCCATACCTGTCGCCCTGTGCTATGCATCAAGGGCACACCACTATGTGGGAAATATCAAGGGATGTTGTTGACTGCTGTGGCATTGGATGCTAATGATTTTATCATTCCCGTAGCATGTGCTGTCGTTGAGGGTGAGACCAAGGAAAGTTGGTTGTGGTTTCTTAGGAATTTGGAGCGAGCAGTGGTGCATCAGTCTGATGTGTGCATTATACATGACTACAAAAGGGAGTTGATTGATGCTGTGGAGGACCTTCTGAAATCCCGAGATCGACAGTGGCGTAAAGCAGAAAGCAGGTGGTGCATGGAAGACCTTGCTGAAAACTTCTTTGCGTCTTTTGGTGATAAGAAGCTTCTGCTGATGTTCAGGAAACTTTGCCAGCAGAAGCGGTGCCATAAGTTTGGAAAAATTTGGAAGGAGCTAGACGAGTTGACGTCCAAATATATGGTGGAGAAAGAATAGGGCGCTAGTGGGGAAATGCAGCAGGAATCAGTCAAGCATGAGGTGGCAGAGCTTGAGGCGCAAAGCCAATGTAACCAACATGATTCAGTGAAGGATGGGAAGGAAGAAGATCATGCCGATGACACCAAAAGAAAGATAACAAAGTTCTCTGATTGGATCAGTCTGAAACCAAAGGAGAAGTGGTCACTGGCATATGACAGAGATGGAGCAAGGTATGGCATCATGGGCAGTGATATAGCTGATGTATATAAGAACGACCCTGTGTTGAAAGGGATCACATGCCTTCCGCTCAGAAGGGTACAGCTAGAAAGCGAGAGAATATCTTTATGGATATGAGTCTGAGGCAGAAGTCTCTGAATGCGGGCCTGACGAACCTTTTGTACCAGGATCATCACGAGCGATAGTGGAGGTGACATTCCTGCGCTTGGTAAAGTACTTCGAAAACACAAGTGCTGCAGCAAACAAAGCAATTGTCAACCCATCAATTAACTTCCCGGAACGTGTCCAGGTTGACATGAACTCCAAAATGCAGAAATCCGAGATGCATAAACTTACGTATACGTATGCGGATGAGAAGAATGCTCGTGGTGAGGTATTGGATCGGAAGTTTACAGTTAAGGGAAGGAAGAGGGAGGTGACTGTTCACCTGAAGTCGGAATATACCCGCAGCATGAATAAGTCTGAAGGATCCACGGTTGAAAAAACTGCCACATGTTCATGCAGCAAGCCGCAGCTACTTCACAAGCCTTGCTCTCATGTTATCGCCATCTGTTGTAAGATTGGGGTTAGCTCTGCTACATACATGTCCCCATACTACAGCCTGCCCTACCTAGGTAGGACCTGGAGTGGAATTTTTGATGAATCTAAGATCTCACGCGACTACAGAAATATCATACCATTTGGATGCACTACCTGGATCCCAGACAAAAGATTGGAGTCTGGTCTTCCTGTTTTTGTAACACCGGAATGCCTAGCAACTGTCACGGAGGAGTTAGAGCAACAATGCAGCACTGGAAATGGATCAACTGAAGACAATCAAGGATCGACAGCACGCTCAGAAGAACCTAATTAAATTTAAACTTCTGCTGTCAACTGTCGAACTAAGTTATTCATATTTTGGAGCCTAAATATGCAGTAGTTGCTGTCGAGCTTATCCTCTGTAAACTCTGAATCTCTAAGTTATCTGCAGTGCTCCGTTTCGAGAAAAAAAATAAGTTATCTGCAGTGCTTATATTGTTTTGTCATGTATACTATGCAGAGCTTATCCTAAGTAGACTGTAACCAACTAGAAAATGAAGTTAGCATGTCATAATATCTGAATCTCTATATAGAGTTTACATAGGATAAGCACCGCAGATTTTATCTCTGAATCTCTATATTATCTGCAAACAAACCCATCTCTCATTAATTTTCTATATACTCCCTCTGTTCGGAAATACTTGTCATAGAAATGGATATAAATGGATGTATCTAGAACTAAAATATATCTAGATACATCCATTCCTCGGACAAGTTGGTTACAGTTTGATGATTTTCTTGGAACTCATGTGTGCTCAAAATGCTTACTCTCTGCAAGCAAGGATGCTGCAAGATTTTATTTTCCACCACAAATACATTTTACATCTTGCCCTCATTTCTTGCGCCGATTGCATTGATTTCAGAGTTCAGATGCATGCTGCCAAAATAAACAGAGACTAGAAAATAAACAGTCTACAGGACTTGTTTGTAAGTGTTCAGATGCATGCCTGCATGGAGAATGTATGTGTTGAAGCTTCTCTCGTAGCTAGTTTTGCTGCATTTTTCTTCTAAGTGTTGGATGATGAAACGGTATACTAGATCTTTCTGAACTTCTTTACGTCTACAAACACTTCTTGGACCATTCTGAACTCTGATGTGCAGTTTTGTTTTGTTTTTCCCTCAGAAGTCAGAACGTTTTTCTTTTGGTGCGAGCTGGACCATGTTTGTGATAATTACAGTGCTGAGCTTCCCTCAAGAACTAAATGTAATACATTAGCAAAGAGGACCTTGTTTTACAGTTGCCCTCCTCAACCAAAAAAATTTTTGTTCATGACATCTATTCCTAACTTCATCACTAGCTAAGCCGCTTGATTAGACCGATGAATAATGAATCTACAAAATCAATGAACCAACTATTCGTGAGTTGCAAATCACTGATTTTGCTGGACTATGTTTAATTCATTCATTTTGTTGCGAGCACTTTTAGGCTGATGCTCTCTCTGGTGGTGATAATAACAGCTTCCATCGAGAACTAAAGATAATACATTAGCAAAGAGGAACTTGCACTACAGGAAAATTCGCATCTGATCCTGAGCACAGCTGATCCTGAAATCACGTTCGATGGCTCTTCTCGGGATGCACGGGTTTTCTTTATTCCGCACTGTATGCGACAAATGTATTGCCAACGTATTCCAGGGCAGGGCCCACGCATTAATTTGCTACTCAGCCACTCTGTCAGACCGGTACAGGATACTCATGGATGGATCAGGTTTCTTCCTGGGTCTCCCTGTTCCGGTGCGACACGCAACGGCAACCTTCCTAGGTCCATCTCTAGGTTTGTTCGTAGGTCCCAGTCCACACCCCTCCACACTCGAGAAAATCCATCCCCGCCGCCGGCGCTACCAGCCGGTTGTTCTTCATCGTGCGCGCAGGCCGCATACACCTGCGTAGGCCAATTTGACAGGGAACAAGTGCAGCCAATTTTATTTTATTTCCAAACAAGGCAAACGATTTGCTAAATTAGTGCATCAACCAAACTAGTGCAGCTCGCATAACGCACACAACACTCGAACTAGTGCAGCTGATGATGCTTGTCTAACAGAAAAGACACAAACTACAGCAGTGTGTATGTATAGCCGATGATTACTAGCCAGTGTACAAAAAGACACAAGATTCAGTAAACTCAATGTTTTGCTTGGTTTCTTGTTCATTCAAGAAGATACGAGATTCAGAAAGTGCACAGAAAGAAACAAGCCATAAGATTCAGTGTACAGCAAAAGAACCCTCAAAAAATTCTGAAACATGATGCCCATTCAGTAAACTCAACAGGATTACAAACTACTGCTTAGTTTCTTGCAGTTCCTGCTGTTTTGCTTGGAAGACTTGGCCTGGCACAAAATGGAAATAGGTTGATTGTCAGTGAGATGAACAAGAGAACTGATGCATTGGCATTGGCATTGGCAGATGGTTATTGCCATGATCGAAAATATTGTAGACAGATGCTCATGCTCACATATTTGAATCCAGATGGTAAATAATTATTTGTGCAAACCAAATTTAATTCGAGCATGAGGTTTGGATATCGTTTCTCTTCTAGGATGTGAATTCAGAGATTATTCTCTACTTGGAAATCACCATATGAATGCTCGACTATACTATGTCTTCACAAAAGGCAGTTTAATTAGCAGAAGAGTTTTGAATGAAGTGTACTAGGACCTTATATTTTAACTCGTGTATATCTCTTTTTTAGATCGGCTGTTGTATAATTTGAAAGGTTTGCACTCGTTCTTGAAGAGAAAAGGACGTGTGGCTTAATATGGATACTACCTGAAAAAGACTTCTACAAGTATGGCTAAGATTGATATGGACAGTTAAACTTCTCACATATTTACCTGTTAGGTGCGAAAAGCAATTAAGTTCAGAACACCGGCCTCCCCCTCAAGTGTCGGGCATTAGCAAGTACTGATTCCAACCTTACTATTTTCTTAGGTATCAGTTTGACAATTTCCCAGCAGCTTTAAGAAGTCATAGAGAAAACTTGAGTAAGATACGAGATAGAAATCTACTGTATGATGTGCAAGTTCCCGAGCAATTGCAATGAAATGATCAAGGAAAGAGCAAGCTGTCAAGTTGTCCCTCCACGAACAATTAGTAAAGTTTACGGTCTGAACAGCTGTATAAATCTACAATTGTTTTTTGAATGGAGTGAAATGACAGGAACTTTATGACAGGTACCTTGTATGCTTTTAGCACTAACTAGGCCCTATCAAAAGAATCTGAACAGTGCCCTGAAAAGGATTCAAAGGTTCGGTTCTCATTGGACTCAAAATACCAGCATCGTGGTTCTCACTGGATTCAAAGGTTTAGTTCTCACAAACCACCAATACTGCCTTGTTGATTTTTCTAGGACTTGTGACTGCAGCATCGTTTGTTTCTACAAAACAAATAGTCAAGAATAATATCATTTGACCACTTAACCATCACATAAACAAGGTTGTTTTCTGAAAACAGACACTACATAGGCAATTCACACTACAGAAGTTCAGAGTAATTCTTAAGCATGTAGTGGTACTTGAAAAAAGATATGTATTCGCTAAAGCATGTACAGGTTACATCTTTGAGTGCCGTTTGAGGCTAAAGCATGTGTAATTGAATTTCTTTAGGCCATTAGCATTTGAACAATTCCATAATTCTGATGGGAATACCTTGGTGAGGATCTTGTTGAGGCTTTTCACTCGTAGTTGCAGCTAGTTCCTCTTGGAGCCCTTCGCTCTTGGAGGATCTTGATAGGGCCCTTGCGGATGTGGACGGCAACCGAACAACAGATCCAGTGTTCGAGGGAGGCAGGGGAGGAAGAACATCTTCAGCTCGTGAGGGATATGATGGAGAAACGGCAAACCCAACGATGGAGCAGCTGCTGCCGGGGTGCGTGAGGGAGTCGGTGGAGGAGGAACATCCTCGTTGTGCAATTGGTGCCACCGCCGCCGCCGACCGTACCATCGGGGCTGCCGAGTAGCTAGGTGTGCACAGTCCCGGGTAACTGTCTTGATTGCAACTTTCATGGCTCTCGTTTGATCACAATTTGAACATAGAACAACATAGTTATCTCGCTTGATCCTGCTTTCCTCATCACCTTGTACTTGGTAGGTAAATTCTGGATCGTTCCGCTGTATCTCTTTGAACACAGCTAGTGTCTTATTTACATCATCGTCAGCCTGGTCTTGACTTATCCAGCCACTCGGATTGCCGCAGCGTCCGTTTTGTGAAAGGCACATTCTGGGTTGGACCGAAGAAGTTGCCAACCATGTTGTACGCCTTGTTCAAATGGCCAATGAACTTTCTCACCGCAAGAGACAACGAATGGTTGTGGCTTGACCGGTGTTCAGCAATGAGCCATCATTGTCTGCAGCTCTAAGTAATCTGATCATTGCAGGGCACTCGCACCGTCAAGATAGGTTATTCTGCTGCTCAGGCTTCCCCTGCAAAATAATATTTTTTTTCTCCGTGTCAAATTTAGAAAATGAATTCCCGTGCAAGCAATATGTTAAAAAACTGCCAAATCTTTTTTTTGTCGGGTCTTAAGTGCTAACCGAGCATCCACAAACAATCTCCTACATACACTTTGTCCGCTCGATGTTCAGCCGGCCCTTGACATATCGTATACCAGATCCAAACTCCCAAGAATACAGGTTATAGAAATAGTATGCTTCCCCGAGTGAGTCAAAACTCATCCCAATCTCTAGCTTCACTACATTGTCTGAGGGTTTATCAGCGTACCTCCTGATTGTTTCTTCTAATGGGAGTGACTCTAGCTGGACAGGGTGCCCTATACGGAGGGGCACGTCCCACTCTTAACCTGAAACTAAATTCACAGTTTTGAGATGATGCAATCCTTTTACATATAACAGTGGGGGCGTGATTTTTGTGTATCAGCACATTTGGAAGTAATGATATCTGCCCACAAAACACTATGTATGCTAATTACACGCATGGATGACGACCAAAATCGGGGGTCATCTAGTTGACAGTAGTAGTAATGTCCCCATACATCTATCGACATAGGCACTAAAAATCAAAAAAACATGGATCCAGAGAGAAACCCGCAAAAAAAAAAGGATCCAGAGAGAAAGAACACTGAATTTTATGTATACCTTCTGGTCAACCCAGGTGCCTCTGGGTTCACCTACCCGGTGAACTCGCGGACTGGGTTGGCTACTGCTTCCTCTTGCCAGCGGGATCGCTGTGCTCAGAAGCGCCGCCGAGTTGTCCAACCGCACCCGCGCACGACGAGTCCGTGTGTGCCGGTGCCGGCGGCTCGACGGACGTCAACACCAA